CAAAACAAATTCAAAACTCAAAACATAAAACTGAAACACAAAGAGAACACCACCTTAATTTTTGGATCTTCGGAAAGTTGGGGAGGGGATGAGAGAGATACTAATTGGCTGAAAATAAGGAGAAATATGGGGCTTATTTCCAGATCACAACCTTCCCAAATGCAGATGAATACATGAAATAGCATCAAAATCACATCTTTAGTTACAACAAAACAGAAAATAACATGATCGCACAATTAAGTACAACATTCCAACGAGCGCTCGGAAATATCTTGGTCCAAGACGCTACCTAAGGAACTTCTTGTCGCATCAACACACGATACTGAATTCGATATAAAATTAAACCTGTAACCTGAAAATTGGACTCGAAGTTTGACCACACATACACATTTTGACCATGGATCAAGAAATATGAGGCATTACCATTTACCCCCCCAAATCAGAATAGCAAGAAGTGGGTGGCAACCAAGTTCGCGCAACACTTGTATTCGTCAACCTGCACAGGCTCATCCTTCATGTAGATGGAACAGGCCCTTCATCCTTCTCTGCACTTTCAGATACCTTCTCCTTGCCTGCCGTGGGGGCCTCCACGGTTTTTGCTTCAGCTTTTTCTTTATCTTCCACTTTGGTATTATCTTCAACGCTTAACTTCTCTAGCAGCCCAGCTGTCGCAGAAGCATCTTTATTTTCCTCTTTCTTTTGGGATTCAGCAACCTCTTGAAACGTTTGCATGAAGGTTTTGCAGTCTAAAAGAAATCATTAATATTTTAATACAAAATTAACAAATACGATAGACATTAAATATTTTGAAATTCAAGAACATAAAAAAGGAAGTAATATTGAAATAATACGTATACATGGAGGAAGCAAATCTCCCACCTTCAGGGAGAAAGGGTATCACTATTTTATAGAAATTGGGGTTAATAACCCAAATAGTCACTAAACTTCGGAAAAAGTTTTCACATGATGACTGAACTTTGCACTGCAAAGGTTTACACGGGATCACTGAACTTTAAAAATCACTCAATTCATCACTGAATTTTGTAAAAAATTTCCACAAGATCACTGAACTTTACAAAAAAGTTTCCCATTTAGTGATCCCCTGGAAAACTTTTTGTAAAGTTTAGTGATGAATGAGATGATTTTTTAAATTCAGTGACCCTGTGAAATTTTTTTTGCAAAGTTCGGTGACCATTTGAGTTATTAACACGCAGAAATTGTATCTAAGTTGGTAATCCCCAAGCAAGGTCAATTCTTAGATTTTACAAAACTCGTTTGGATAAAATGCATTTGTATCTTCTTCATTTTCTATGTATTCTAAAAGAATTCAATTCAATGAGAAACAGTTTTGCTGTTTTTACAGTAGAAGTGCCTTTTTCTAAGCATCTCCAAAACAAACATCAAATAAAAGAGGTTATGGAGATGAGATGGTGTATAAGAAACAGAAATCAGCCACTAAGGAGAGTATTAAAGAGATGAGATGAAACCCATCGGCAACAATAACAATTGATGCTCATATAGTAGTAGGTACGGAGCTTTTCCGTGCTAGGTGCTGGAAGAACTGTTAAAGCACCATAATCACCAACTTGTCGGGGTAGCTATTGTGAGTTTTAAATGTTACATAACTGCAGTGTTCATAATGGAATATCCTCAAAACCATATAGCTTGGAGGTACTTTCAACAAGTTGAAATCAGTAACAAGCCTAATTTTGCTGTGCAATTGGAGAAGTCGGCTTTTCCACATCACTTTCTTTTTTCATGTAGCATGACTCAAATTGTACAAGGATGAATAGCTTTCTAACTACACACGTGGTTCTATGACACTCCAGGATTCAGGAGTTAATCATATAATATCATCGTAAAGCTAAATTATAATCAGATGGCATTTTAAAAGAACAAACAAAAATAAGTGATCAGTTTGCCGAAAATTACTAGAACTGATAAGAATCTGCCGCATTTTTATCACTAATTAAATCATGTCAAACTTAAAATCTATGGCTCTATATGAATTCAGTATCTGGTGGGACCCCAGGGACATAAGTATCACCCAACCAAGATTTATTTGGGATTCTAGTAAGTAGAAATTTAAGATTGATATTTCAATTTAGCAAACATTAGAACGGTGTCAGAAACAAGATTTTCTTAGCCGGTTAGTACATTGAAGAATACAAAAAACCCTCGTGTAAACTAAGACCATTAGTTGAAATCATAATATTGGAATGGTATCAGAAATAAGAGATTCTTGGCTGGTTTGAATTCCTTATGGTAAATAAAGCCACTACATTCGAATTCCAGCTTAATAGGAAAATGGGGGCAAAACTCAATCAAGCTAAGCACCTTAATTGGTAAACTCAATATAGAAATTCCTTGAGTCTTAAGTGCACAGTGTAGATGCTGATAGGATATTGTTGTGTGATTGTGTCAATTGATAAAAAAAATTTGGCACTCCTAATCAAGAAAGAAATATAATAAGAAAGTACAAAATGAATTATTACAGGTAATAGAGAGAGAAGCCAGTTGACAAAAAATGAAGGAGGAAATGGGTGAACAAATCATTTAATAGTCAACCAGTGAGTAAAAAACTAGATAAGCAAATTGATTCACCAAGAGATTCTTTTGTGATAATGCAGAATTGCTATCATATTGAATAATAGTTGTCATTTAACACCTCCAGAAAAAAATACAATTCCGATGCCGCGTCGGAAACCTGAACCCTTGTACTGAAGCCGAAGCTCGGATTGAGGCATCACCTCAAGATGACAATCGGAAACAAACAACTACAAGAATGTGGTGGAGCTCAGTCCCTAGACTTAGGCCAGGAATCTCTAGCCATCAATTGAGATTGACTACCTGATTCCACCGGTCACATGAGGACTTCCTGCACAGCTTCGGCACAAAAACGAAGAATGTGCCACCTACACATACCGACATAACTAGCACATAAAAGAAAGGCGTCTCCTGTAATCTCTCCACCACATCAGGTACGGACTAAGACCACTTGTCCACCTCTCATAACAGAATGGAAGATTATGTCATTATAGCCCTGTGTGCTCCAACCCACAGGTATAGCTCTCTGATCTTTTTCTAGCCCTCTTTACTCTTTTGAGTTTACCTATAAAAGCCTTTCCGATCCGTCACTAGCTTGAGCATAAGAGTTTACACCTAGGTCCCTAGGTCATTTTTAAGTCACCTGAAGTTATGAAGGAGCAGCAGTGACATGTGAATTGCATGCTATCACACTTTATATAAATATATAAGTTTCTAACCTCTAACTTTATTTGTACCTGTCAGTAGGTATTATCTTCCCCCTAAACCAAGATGGTTTCCTCAAATCTACAGATGCAGATACATTTTTCTTTCAGTGTAGTAACAGTTACGAGACAACTACAACACAACAGTTAATATATTAGTATCTGGATAAAGGAAGTAACCAGGTTCAGCCTAGTCGTGTTCATGTTTAACTATGAGCCAATTATACATATATTGACAAATTATAATCAAATGTGTGCCTCACAAAATTTAACTCAAGCATATATACAGATAGAGCTGTTTTCAGCAAGAGATAAGTAGATAAATCAAAATCGAAACCGGACAAATAATTCAGGAAGATACGTACTCATACTGATCAAAGAAAGAAAAACATTAACTTGCGAAGTACAAATAGATAATACTTACTCTCTACAGATGGAAATCTAATACAAAACATTTCATCCTTGAGTTCACCATCTGCAAAATCCGGTGCGTGCCACACACAGGACTTGTCATTCCCTGCATGCTCCTGGACAGTCATTGTCGAAAGAACTGCCCAAACAAATATAAATCGCATTACCCTACCACAACTCTTGAGAAACAAACAATTAAAACACTAATTACTAGTTACTTATGTAGGAAATGAAAGAAAAACAAACCGAGATGATTTGCACAAATCTTGAGGGTTTTGGATTGGCGCATAACAAGGCGGACTTTTCCAGTTTCCTTGTGCTTGAGGAACTTGACAGTACCAGCGCCTCTCTCTTTCCACTGGTTTCCGTCTTTGTCAAAACGATAAAGCTTCGCCTTTCTACAAAAATTAATTAATTAAAATTTGAAGAAGTGAAGAAATTTGAGTCATAAAACCCTAAAAAGATGGAGAGAAAAGGTTGGTACAGATCGAGGATGGGCTGTTCGTCTTCTTCGCCAGTAGTGACGGAGACCTCTAGCTCGAACTGTTACCCCCGCTGAAGTGCTCCTGTGTCCTCATCATCCGCTCCTGCCGCTGTCCCTTCCTCCTCTCTGTGTTTCGGATCGTTGCTTGCCATTTCTTATTATCTGTAGAGAGTAAACAGCTATCAATCGATTATTGATAGTCGTGTGACTTGATATGCGAGTGCTCTATACTATGCAATAGGTAGGTCAATCCGGGAGGCCCCCCACCTATAGGAGGCGCCATTTGGCGCCCATGTGGCCCTGTACAGCATTATTTTTTTTTTTTATATCCAGGTATCCTAACTTACACTAGACTAAGTCCTGGACCACCCATCCCCGGCCCCTCAGTGATGGGTGGAGGTTAATCGCGGGATATGCCCAAATTGAT